CAAATGTGTGATAAGAGACCTTTCACTTTAAGGCAAGTCCTAGATTTTCTTAGTGGTTGAAGGTTAATCACTTACAATAACACAAAATTCATGGTCTAAAATTTCATCCAACCACTCAAGATCACAAAAACTCCAACCATTTATAAACATAAGTATCGCCTTAGTTTATATTTATCCCTTATGATTTATAGAGCCTTAAACAATGAATTTCTTGCGAATCATAAATTAGCTATCACGCTCCGCTTCCACTACCAGCTCCCTTCTGTCTAGCCCAACGGTATGCATCAACCGTCGACACTGCAATTCGAACCACAACAACAATTGGTATCACACACCAAAACAAGCTTCAAAACAAACTCCTTTCAGGGATTTCTTAAGTGAACACCACTTAACTATTTTCCACAATCACCTGAAAGGCATCCTAACAACACTTCGGTTTGAAACGCCTAATCGCACAACTCCCCATCAAATTGCTAAACCAAGCCATGAGAAAGATCGGTGGCAGCTTACATCAGTAACCCGACACACATAAGAATCAAGGGATAGAAGGGTCACTTCACACAAAAATCTCGTTTCACGAAGATAGAAAAGTGAAACACATTCTTAAGATTAAATTTACAATCTTATAAACCTTTTAAACGACCAAAATCACCACCTCATCAACATAGTCAAACTTATGCCGCTTCTGAAACAAGATCTTTTTTCTCACAATTTCTTAACGTTTAAACTTAGACCTCACAAGGTCCAAACTAGACACTAATTGGTAATAAAACCACGTCGTCTAAATAAAATTGCTTCCATGACAAATTTTCCAAAGATTATAAAAGAAAACCCGATGTGGCAGCTATTCACATCATAAGCAACAAAGGGATACATGTGAACGAGCCCGACAAAACATACCTTATATCACATCCGCAAGTTCTCACGAGTCTTCGATGGTCGAAATCATTGATCTCTCTTCTTCGACAGTTCTTTCTGATGTGACCCGGATCTCCGCACTCAAAGCATGACAATCCTTTAACGATGCAATCACAAAACGTATGGCCTAATTTTCCGCACCTAAAACACTCAAGAGGCTTAGAGGTGCATATTCCATGGTGTTTAGTTCGGCATGTGGAACACCATTTAGTTTCTGCACTAGACTCGATCATTCGCTCCTTGGAAACACTTCTAGGCTTCTTGAAGGATCGAAAATGTCCTTCTCGATCGGTTCTATCTTCCTTCTTTTGTGCCAAGTCTTCCTCAACTAACTGGGATTATGCAATTGCTTCTTGTAACGAAGGTTACCTTTACATTAAAATAAAACAATTAGTTGCAAAGAACTCAAATAAAATAACTAAATACAATATAATTTACTTTTTAAGTTTAACAAAACATAATAAAAAAGGCAAAAAGAATTAAATGTCCCTAAGTTAACAGAGTCACTGTTAACAAACTTTGTGAGAGGAACTCTAATCATAAAAAATGACAACTATGGAGACCGAATCCATAATTTTTCGAGTTTAGTGATGCTAGTCATAATTTTTGTTAAACTACAGGACCAAACCCATAATTCACTTTATAATTTATATTTATTTTGTTTTAATAAAACAATATAATAATATAGAAAATCTTGTTTTATTATTATAATATGATAAATGTGTTTTTTAGTATACTAGAAGGGTACTCGATAATTATATTTGATTTAGTAATATAATTTTCTTATAAAGATAATAGTTAATTTTTTTATTAAAACTCGATAATTATCCTAATTATATTTTAGATTTTTTATATTCTAAAATGAGATGTTTATTCTTTATCTGATTATGTATATCCGCAGTTAGTTACACGAATTCAAACATGAAGCTTTAATAAGTTATACTTATACATAATTTACTTATAATCTTGAACTTTAAATAATATGCATCAATATGCAATACTTCATGTATAAAAACTGATTTTTAAAAGTTTTTGTCAAATGTTTTATAATATAGTATAGATATTATAAGATGAAATAATCATTTTAATATTTTTTATTTAAAATTTGGTTGTTACTTGACTAATAAATTTGGTAATTCTTTATTAACTCAATTTCATGTATTTTGCAACCAAACAAACCAATTAAAATAAGTTGATAGAATATGAATTTTAATTTCTTGAATTCAAATTAAATCAAACCCCACTTAACAATCATCCATAGCTTCTTGTCTTTTCTTAACAATTATAAACTAGATATAGGATTATTTTAGGTTACAGATAACTGATAAAATCTTGGATTTGTTCTTAATGGGTATTGAACGGTGCTCTAAACGGCAAGAGACATAACGACTGTTTAACAGTTCCTGAATGATTTGATATAAAATGATTAACTGGTCATAATGAATAAAAATTTGTTTTTTTTTCTTTCAAAAAAGCTCTTATGTATGATTCGTTAAGAGGTATGGTAAATCAACCTCTTATTGCTTCTTACTGTTCTCCAAACTCTTAGCAAAAACGTTTCTCAATCGATTAAACTTAATCGATCATTTCTCTCAATCGATCCTTACCAAATCGATCATTACTCGTCTCAATTGATGTATTTTAATATAATTTAAATGTGTTAAATATCGTTAATGACATATTTTCGTTTAAATGAATGCCAATTATGTAATTTAAATATAAATTTTGTAATGATGATGAATAAATATGTGAAATTGTATACATTTATCTATACATTTAACATTATAATTTTCAAATGGATAACATAGACAATTTAAACAAATTTAGATATTTATCAGTTTACAAAAACAAACAGTTTTATTGATTCAGATTTCAGACTTCAATACCACCTCTTATTAATCAGAAGTGAAATAAGATTTAAGATTTCAGCACCTCTTAAAAAACAAACGCCACCTAAGAAGCTCTTATGACATAAATGCAAAATGAAATATATTTGTTTGATAATTGTTCAGAGTAAAATTAGAGCTGAATGATTAAGGGAGACCCAAGATACAAAATCATTCAGAGTGTTCTATAATCATTAAGAGACATATTTTTTTTTATCAAAAAAGTTTTTTTCAGAAACTGCCTCTTAATGAAATTATAAAGAGGTAAATAAACAACCTCATAGTGAGGCAACGAGTTCAACTTTTAAGTCTTAGGAGTGAGTCCCAACGATGCCACAAGTTTGTATTATTTTATGGCGACGAATTTGTATAATATATATATATATATATATATATATATATATATATTATAAACATATAGTTTATATTATTATTCAATGAATTAATGATATTATACAATTTAAATTGTGTTATATATTTAAGAAGTAATTAAGACTAAAAATGTAAGGAAAAACAAATATCGCACTAAAAAATCATACATTAAGTCATGACATGCAATAGTTTAATGTGATATCAGATATGAACCCTGAAGTCACAACACATAATGACAACTATCGCTACCAGACTTTTGGAACACTGTCCGTAAGTCATTAGAGATTTACCTATCAGTATTCGCATAAAATTAATCCAAACCCATATAAGCTTTCGTAAATATTTAACATTCGGTTATTCAAAACCTAAAAATAAGAAAAATTCAAATTACATTGACTATCGCAGATTAATCATTCAATCAACATATTATCAGGTAATCAATAAATCAACAATGGCAGACTCAAAATATGTAGAGAGAGAATCGTTGAAAGCTTAAAATGATATATTTTTCAAAGTTCACGCAAAGATAAAAGATTGCAAGAGTTATAAATACAATAACACGCTAACTATTTATACCCAAAGGGTATTTATTCGAGAATGATTCTTATCTATATAAAATATTTGACAAAAACTCTTAAAAACCATTTTTTATGCATGAAGTACTGTTTATTGATGCATATTACTTAAAATTCAATATTACAAGTAAATTGTGCGTAAATACAACTTATTAAAGCTTCATGTTTGAATTTGTGTAATTAACTGTAGATAAACATAATCAAATAGAGAATAAACATCTCATTTTAAATATAAAAAATCTAAAATATAATTATGATAATCATTGAGTTTTAATAAAATATTTGATTATTATTTTCTTTTATAAAAAAATATATTATTAAAAAAAATGAATTAAAGAAATACAAAAAAACGAAATAGTTAGTTTCGTACTAATATCAATATTATTTTTTAATTTTTTTATGATATTTCATATTCATATTTTATTAAAAAATAAAAACATGTTGCGTTCTTAAAACTACATAAAACCGTATTATAACATCAACTGAGATAAAAAATAAAATAAAACAAAAAAATTAAAATCAAGATCTATCTCGCAACATTGTGTAAGTACCTCCTAGTGTATGATAACCAATCAAATTAAGGGGGTGTTTAGGATTGCTTATTTAAAACAACTTATGCTTTTTTTATAAAAGTGCTTATTAACTTATGTGGTATTAAATCGGAGTTTTGTAAAAAGTGTTTGAATTAGCTTATAGCGATACCAAAAAGCAATAATCTTTTTAGTGTTTGAAATTTTTTGCTTATATATGTAAAATGACCAAAAAAGACAGTCTTTTATATAATAATATTTTTGATTATTAACTTATTTATTTTTTAACATGTAAAAATTTATTTTTCATCATTTATAATAATATTTTTGACAAAAAATTATATCAATAAGATTAATAATTAACAAACATTAATAAAATATCGTTAAAATGGTAAACTGATAATAAACAGTTTTTCATAAGTCAAGAAAGATTAACTTATCAAAAACTGCTTATTACCGGTTTGACATCGGTATAAACAATTTCTTTTTCTTACCCAAACACTAAAAAACAACTTACCTTCGATGTCAAACTGAAATAAGTTAAAAAACAATTTTGATAAGCAATTCCAAACACCCCTAACATTAACTAAAAAAATAAAAAGGAAAAAAATATCAAAATAAAATAATAATGAAAAGAAGTAATTGGACCAAAATGTGTGCTCTTGTAATCCACCATCCACATTCATAGCCGACAAATCCTCCATTTTCACTTTCAATTTTGAGCTTCTCTCTTCCCTTTGCTTGCTTTCTTCTCTGTCTCTGAGCTCTTGAAATCATCTGACCTGCCATTGTTGTTTTGTTTACCCAATTTCTCCTTCTTAGAAGAATGAATATTCAGATTTCATCGTTTTCGCCATAGAAGTTGGGGGTTTTCTGATTTCATTACCGGAGGAGGGTTGCTTTTGGAAGAGAGAAGATGAAGACGAGACTAAGGAAGCCAGTGCTGGTGTTGCTTTTCCTGACGGTTATTGCTCCCATTGTTCTTTACACTGATAGACTCGCTTCATTTACTTCCTTTTGTAACTCTTCTTCTCTTACTCTCAGATCTTCTTCTTCAACTTTATAACTATTCCCTTTTCTTTTCTAAAGTTCTTATTTAAAGCTTTTCTAATCTTATTTATCTGATTGTTTTGTTTTTCTTCTGCTAGCAGCTACAGATGAATTCATTCAGGAGCCTTCAACACTTGTAAGTTCATTCCTCAGTTTGCAATCTCAATGATCTCGAATTAATTGTTTGTGAGTTCTTATGTTTATGTATTATTACCTTCAGTCGTTGAATCGAGACGCCATCCCCCTAAGTTTGCTTCCACAGGTAGGTAACATCATCAATTTACTTGCCGAATTTGGATACTTGGAAAAAATTTCATTTCTCCACCTTTCAATTGATTCCTGTTTTCAGGAGTTATCTGCAGCAAAAAAAGAATCATCAGGTGATGTTTATTTGGAAAATTTGACTAGATCTGTTCAACAGCCTGATGGTGAAAGGTCCAGGAAGACTAGACAGCTTACTGAAGGTTTGTTTTACCCTAACCCTAACCCTCACCCTATATCATATGATCAACTTGACAATTTTAACGCTGAAGTTTTATCAGAATCAAAGGAACTTGGCACCATTGTTTCGGCTCAAGACGACAACCCCATCAGGCAATTGACTCAAGGGTTGCACGGAGTCGATGGCAGTGAGAACGGATTTGAATCGGTCGAAAACAAGGAAAATGTGAAGTTAAAGGTGCCTGAGTATACATTGTTAGCCACTCAAGCTTACACCGTTATTTAAAATTTATCTGGGATTGTTGCTGTGCTGTCACTTTCATGCCTCTTGTGACCTGCCAATCTTTAAATAGTATTCATGTCTAGCTGTATACTTAAGTTGGTAATAATTGAATGAAGCCATAATGTAGCATGATGTGTTCAATAATTTGCATGTAGATTTGGATCTGATTTATTACTATGCAGAGTGAAAAAGATTTACATATCACATGTTTTCTGTTTTGAGCCTGGTGGCTTATAAGCACTCAAATGTATTTTTCCCCTTAAGTTTTTGATGATTTAGGTACAACCACAATTGATACTTGTAAAACTCTTTTGTGTTTTGAGCGTTTCTTGCTAGCATACTCATGATCATGAACTGTTTTTAGTTGATCCTACCAAACATGACATGGATGGCCCTTAAGTAGAAGATTTTATAATATTGATAACAGATCGTCTTTAAGAAATTACCACAATGGTTGCATATCGATGTTGGTGTTATGTCATTACTTTCCTTTCTGGTAATCTTACGTTTTATTGAGCAACTATTGCTATTGATTTAGAAAGCAACAGCATGTCTGCATCTTATGTACTAAGAGTTGGCTTCAGTAATTTTTTTTAATAACGCTCTATGTTCCATTTGATCAATGAATTCACTAGGTTTTGTGCCTGTTAAAGAACTCCAAATCTCTAATATTCTGATTACGTGATGAACCCGCATAGCACTACACAGATTAAGTGCAAATTTAGCTTCACGTGTGGAGACTTGATTCATGTTGATGTCTGATCTTATAGGAAACCAAACAAGAGGGACAGTTCATCGAACTTCCTCAGAAAGTTGGTGAAAGGGGACCTGCAAAAACCAAAAGCGAGAAACCCAATGAACGTGTTTTGGTAGATTCTCGTGTTCGGTATCTGAAGGATCAATTGATTAGGGGAAGACTTTACCTTTCTCTTTCAGCAACGAGGACCAATGTTCATTTTATTAGGGAACTTCGGTTACGTATGAAGGAAGTCCAAAGAGTACTTGGTGATGCAACCAAGGATGCAGATCTACCAAAAAGGTAAGCCTCAATTTACTTTATATTTTACATAAAAATAGTACTCCCTCAATTCCTGCATTTGAGTCACTTTGTTGAAGACTACATTTTTCAGTTCTCAATTATATTATTCTTTAACTGTTTGCAAAGTTTGGAAACTGAACTCAAATATAGGATGTTAGAAGAGCATAAATTTGCCATAAATGGCTAGTTGGCTATGGTGATCCATTTTGGGTTATGATAAATAAGTTATCTTGCCCTAAATCTAGTGCCTCAGACAAGCTGAAGGCGATGGAGCAAACGTTGGCAAAAGGAAAGCAAATACAGGATGACTGCACTGCTGTTGTAAAAAAACTCCGTGCTATTATTCACTCAACCGAGGAACAACAGCGGGTCCACAAGAAACAGGCCTTGTTTTTGACTCACTTAACTGCCAAAACTGTTCCTAAGGGTCTCCATTGTCTTCCCTTACGCCTTTCAACCGAATACTATTCTTTAAATTCTTCTGCACAGCAATTCTCAAATCAAGAAAAACTAGAAGACCCCAAGCTGTTCCACTATGCACTGTTTTCGGATAACGTGTTAGCTACAGCAGTAGTTGTGAATTCAACTGTTTCTAGTGCCAAGGTGATTATGTCCTTACATAAGTTTTTTTACTTTCTTAATGAAGTTTTAATAGTATTTCAATGTTCTAATATTTAACATCAAAGCATGTTCTCTGGGGCAGGATTCTTCGAAACATGTGTTCCACATTGTCACTGATAGGCTCAATTATGCTGCAATGAGGATGTGGTTTCTTGCAAACCCACCCAGCAAGGCTACAATACAAGTGCAGAACGTTGAGGAATTTACATGGCTAAATGCGAGTTACAGCCCAGTTCTCAAGCAGTTGGCTTCACAGAACATGATTGATTATTATTTCAAAACACGTAGGGCTGAGCCTGATTCAAACCTGAAGTTCCGCAACCCAAAGTATCTGTCAATTATGAATCATCTTCGGTTTTACCTTCCGGAGATCTTTCCAAAGCTTAGTAAAGTGCTGTTCTTGGATGATGATATAGTGGTCCAGAAGGATTTGACAGGTCTTTGGTCTCTTGATCTGAAGGGCAAGGTGAATGGTGCTGTTGAGACCTGTGGGGAAAGCTTCCATCGGTTTGACCGATATCTCAACTTCTCAAATCCTATCATAGCTAAAAATTTTGATCCCCGTGCTTGTGGTTGGGCGTATGGAATGAATATATTTGATTTGGAGGAATGGAAGAAACAGAATATCACAGAAGTTTATCATTCATGGCAAAATTTGGTAAGTGGTTCATTAATGTTCTTAACTACGAATCAAACATGTCATTCTTTATGCTTGTAGCAAGGAATAACACAATAATAGTAGCAGCGACCCTTGGGCTATGTTTGGCAACCATAAGCTAGCTTTTTTGAGCTTACTGAAAAATCCCCATTTGGTTTTTTTTATAATCTAGCTTTTTAAAAAACTACTTCAGGTAGCGTTTCAACAAGCTCTAGCCTCTGGGTGACTTTTTCCAATTGTGACATGACATGTATTTTTCCAATTAACCTTCAACATGTTTTTAGGGCATTTTACTTTGTCATCTAGCTTATTATGTGGTTTTTAGCAAACATGATTACTTTAATAACTAATTTATTTACCAATAAGCAATTGCTAGTTTTTCAGCTAACAACTAGCTTATTGGTCACTAGTTTGCCAAACAGTCTTTTGATCCACGGAAATATCTAAAAAGCATTTTGAGCTTTCAACTCGATTCCAGCTGAAAATCTCGAGTCATGATCTTTTTGTCATGCATTTGGTGCAGAATCAAGGGAGACAACTGTGGAAGTTGGGAACGCTACCACCCGGTTTGATAACATTTTGGAAACGTGTATACCCACTAGAGAAGTCATGGCATGTACTTGGGCTGGGGTATAATCCAAGCGTGAGCCAGAGGGAGATTGAAAGAGCTGCAGTGATTCACTACAACGGGAATTTGAAACCATGGCTGGAGATAGGAATTCCCAAGTTCCGAGGATACTGGAACAGGTTTGTTGACTACGAGCAGGCATACATGCGGGATTGCAATATGAGTCCATAAGGAAGAAGCAGCAAAATGGTATATATTCTTTGATTGATATTAGTGCTGATGATTAGTTTCTTCATATATTTTCCTGGCCGTGGTTATAAAACGAAACGAAAGCCAGCCACGCATTATGTTGAGTAGTTTGTTCTGTTATGGGCTGACAGATGTGTAAAGAAGCAAGACATTTATGTTAAACAAGTTGGTGTCTGATTGATGTTTAGTTTCTTTGTATATGTGTGTAAAAGAGCAAGCTAGTTTATTTTTTGAAGAAGCCCTGTTTAGTAAACCATAATCTGGCTGTTTGAAAAAGCTATTTAAGATGGTTTTTCTTTTAGTTTTGTTTCTAATTATGCCTAGTCAAAAAGCTAGCTGATATGTGATGTGTGGCCCAACCCAAAAAGAAGGATGATGTGTTTGTTAAATTTCTTGTATACCATTTTATTAGATGCCTTTGATCAACTATTTGAAAAACAAATAAACAGGGACACAAGTTATTGCTATAAAAAGAAGCAAGGCCAAAGCATAACTGTGACTACTTAAATGCTCATAATCCCAGACGGCCGATGACAAGATCGGGTATGCCTGGTGGGTCGAAACGTCTCAGATTACGGTTCCGCTTGGAATCAAGGCGTCTTTGATCACGGTCACAATCCCGCTCTTAATGAAGTAACCGTCTGTTTCCCTTGCTGTTTCTTCGACATTGTCTTTGTTCAGAATCTGCAAGAAAAAGCATAAATATATGATGCAACTGCTATACTATAAAGTAATTGGTATCATTTCTCTTGATCATATATTTACCTTGACATCATCTCCAATTCTAGCATTTTTGTCAATTATTGCTCTCCTGATATGGGTATTCTTTCCAATACCAATAGAAACCCCACCCTTTGCTTCTAACAGTCTTCTGTCTGTATCAGTCTGCTCCACATAAATCGTAATAAGAAAAAGGAAACAAGAAAAAGAGAAATGGTTGTCTTGACAAATTCAGCTAATAACCTCATAGTAATCAGCTCCCATGAGCAAAGTGTCTTCAATAATAACACCATCAGAGATGCATGACCGAAGACCAATCACCGAATGATGAATTTTACAGTTCTGCAACGAAGAAACTCAGAAAAACGGAACTAGTAACAGATTGCTGAATGAAAAGCAGAGGTGATTCATCCCAAGTACCTTGATCACACAACCCTCACCAATCACACTGTTTGTAACATCAGCATTCAACATTTTAGAAGGTGGTAGATATCGTGGTTGTGTATAAATTGGAGCAGACCGATCATAGAAACTGCATCATCATAAATAAGAATCTATATATATGAACAAATCAACGGTATGCAGCTATATATATACATACACACACACACACACACATATATATATATATATATATATATATATATATATATATGAACAAATCAAGAGTATGCCCAAAAAGGGTATGCAGCTGACCTGAAATCTGGTATTGGCTTCTTTGTGATTCCAAGATTTGCATGATAGAAAGCCTCAATGGTACCAATGTCTTCCCAATAACCATCATATAGGTATGCTTGTACCTAAAAGGAATGGAAGAAATTTCATAATCCATAACTAGATGCAAGTATTTGAAAGCATTGTAGTAAACGTCACCCGATCGTTTTATAGAAACATATGTATATATATATATGTATGTATATATAGCACGTACAACTTACCCGCAGGCCAATTGAAGTTGCACCGGGAATTACTTCACTTCCAAAGTCATTTGCCTTTGGAAACTTCTCTCTGAGCAAATCCAACATAACGTTCTTACTGAAAACATATATACCCATACTCGCAATGAAAGGCATTTCTTTCGCTCTCTTGTCATCGAGGCCTAGAATGGTGGTGTCAACCTAAGATGAATAGTTAACGTTATTCGCAAGAAAGATTCACGACTGTCGACAGTTTCAAATTAGAGGAAATGGTGATACATACCTTCATTGCCTGTAGTTTCTCCCCCTTTGGCTTTTCTGAGAACTCGATTATTCTTCCTTCCTCATCTATCTTCATTAGACCGAATGCAGTGGCACGCTTTTCATCCATGGGCAGAGCGGCCACGGTTATATCAGCATCACTTTCCCTGTGTGCTTGGATGAATTTTTCGTAGTCCATTCGATACAAATGGTCACCGGCAAGAACCAAAAACTCCAACACATTCTGTTCTTCAAGCAACCACAGATACTGCCTTACAGCATCCGCTGTACCCTACTCATTCGAAACTCAACAAAATTAGCTTCATCCATACAGACAACTTAACGGAAAAACAACCAAACGATGCAGGGTGGGTTCAACTCAGTTGATCATTACCTGGAACCAATCAGGATTCTCGGGACTTTGTTGTGCCGCAAGAACTTCAACAAAGCCTTCGTTCTTATAACCGCCCATGTTGCTTGCGTACGCCCGTGACAGATGACGATTTAGAGACGCGGAATTGAATTGGGTGAGAACATATATCTTTGATACGTTGCTGTTCAAGCAATTGCTTACAGGTATATCTATTAGCCTGTAATTAGCCCCCAAAGGAACTGCAGGCTTGGCTCTTTTCTTAGTAAGAGGATATAGCCGAGTCCCAGCTCCACCACCAAGAATGATTCCAAGCACACTCTGCACATTCAAATCTTGAATCATATCATTGCACATATACATATATATATATATAATAACCATTAACATATATCCGGGTAGGCTTACGTGACCCACAACGGCTATGATGAGATTTACACGACATAACCGGTCCTGATCCTTGAACCAAATGGTTATGACATGAAATGTTAATCAAAAGCGTGAAATGCTACACACGAGTAAACAGAATTTAACAGCTAGATTTCTGTAGTTAGTTCCAATGTCGAAATGGGGTTTCAAGATTTTGGAAATGGGGTTTCAAGATTTTGATCCCATTACTATATCGTGAATGTTTCAAAGAAAACCATGTGATTTACACATAAACCAAGAGAGAGAACCAAAGATCAGCTCGAAACCAACAGATTAATTCATGGAACCAAAAAAGTTTCCATTTTTGTTTCTGATTGTGTAGAGAAAAAGAGGGAGGGAGGGTGCTTACGTTGCTGGCATCAGGATCGAGGCAGGTCTGAGAATAACTGGAGTCAGAAACAGCTTTCGGGCAAACAACATCTGGGCTTCTTCTTCTGCTTCCTCCATTACCACCGTTGGAAAGAGATATTTTCCGGTGAGTGACTCCGCCGGCGGCGGTGGAGGCATTCGTCTTCTTTAAGAGAATGTTCCGTTCGTGGCAGCCGCCGAAGATCTGAGAAGCAGCGAAAGAAGAAAGTGGGTTGGCAGTGGCATTGTTGATACCCGATTGAATCATCATCATGGTGGTGATTAGTTAATCAGAGTGTTAATAAAAATCTTGAATTAGCAAAGCATGTGATGAATAATGAGGCCGATGGGTATGCAAATATGGGGAGGAGATGAAAAGGAAATCTGTGAATTGGTGTGTGTGTGTGGATGTGGAGTGTGTGTACATAACAATAACATCCTCATGCACACAAAGAGCCAAAGTCAATGTTACTACATACAAAGCATTGGATGTATATAATTGCATTTGGGTCCCTATTATTTGTCATTGAATAACAATCAAGCATCGTGTTAGAAGGGAAGTTATGGTGAGAAACATAAGAAAGAGATCTGAACCCTTGATGACTTTTAATCTCATGTCTACCCATGAATTGCGCTTTATAAGGGAAGTGATTCGGTGCACCTCATTAGTGTTGACATTCGATTATGATTGATTCAAGGATGAAGATCTCTTCTTACGCTTTTCAATATAACTTTCGTTCAAATTGGAACCTAACGTTCATATCAAATGGTAATTATATTTGTATTAAGCTAAATTGGTCCATCATCAATTTAATAAATACATTTAATACTTTAGTATAAATTCTTAATGAGAAGATAGTAACTTTTATATACACATTAAAAATACATTTTTGTTCCATCTAATAATATTCTTTAGGTCATATATGTGACACTTAGAATTAGTATGTTTTAGGATTTTATTCTTAGGGGTTGTTTACTAAACGTTTATCTAGTAAGTGCTTACTGTGTAATTTTCTTTACCGGATGAACATGACAACAGTCAAAAATCTTACCTGGTAAGAGCAATGATAAAGATGAAGAGTCTTATTCGGTAAGTGAATGTGATGACTCTTACCCAGGTAAACGCTTACCGGATAAATTGTTGCATATGATATCATTTATCATTTACAATGTTATTCTTACCAGGTAAGCACGGGGCTCAGTGAACAGATTATAATATAAATTTGAAATAATAATATGTAACATCGATAATGAAAAGGAAGACTTACAATTCAATTAAACTGAATTAATAAAAAATCAAGATGTTTCAAAATTCTCATTTCAAACATAGTATAAAACAAAATCCGTTAATTCTTGTAATATTCGTGGGGTGGACAAACCACACGAACTGTCGGGACGACATGCGGGCACACACCCGAGTCCCTTGTGAATTTAACCACGGTCACATGGTGGGTAATCCTAGGATCGATCAATCCGCCCGGAGCCAATAAAATCGGCCTAGTCCACAAGGTGGGTTCACGTAACTATTGGGCCTAACCCTGTGGATCGAGTTCACCTGCAGGACGCCATGACTATAAAACCGCCATAGAAGACATCCAAATAATGTGTCAATTAATTGGGTTGTTCTAAAAACAACGAAAATTAAACATATGTCACTTACCCGAATGACGTTCATAAAAAATCAAGTTCAATATAGTTCACAAGTTTCATAACCAAGTCCATATGAAACACATTTTAATGAAACGCCAAAAGATTCAAAGAAAATATTCAATAAACCAAAATCAATGTATATGTGTGTGTATAATTACACATTTGTTGATCACATTCAGTTGATCAATCACCAGGTGGTGAATGATAAGTGTCAATTTTATATATTTTTATGCTAAAGTTTTCTAGTAGTTAATATTAATTAGATGCTTAAAAGTTCTAATTTAATTTTAATTATTTGAGGTAATTCAAATTTGAAAAAGAAAAATACAATTTGATTATTTGTTTTTTTTTCTTTTTTGTTGTTGATCATCTCACTCTCACTCTCACTCTCACCAACAGTCCAACAGAAGAGGCCCAACACCAACAGCAACCAGTCCAACAACAAGCAGCCCACCAACAGCAAAAAAGCCCAACAACAGCAGCCCATCAGAGAAGCAGTTTTGATCGAGCGAGAGATCGGGAACACGTCAACTGTTTTCTGGGTTCGATTGGAGAAGACAGCAGGAGATCGATCGATTGAGGAGGACTTTTATCATCAACTGATTCTTTCGGTAAATCCTAAAATCTTTAGAATCGGTAACCTATTTTTAGCTATGTATGGCTAATTTATTTATTCCAACATTAGTTAACTTTAGATTTTGATGTTTTCCTACTTTGAGATGTCGTTGTAATGGTTTGGGACAAGTTTATTTGTTTGATTTCTAGGTTAATCGTTAATTTCATTTGAATGTTAATTAAATTGGCCGATTAGTTAACAGTCCTATGAATACTTGTTATTCAAAAACATTATATACATAATTGTCTTGTGGCTATGATAGAGTGACAATGGAACTCTTTGAAATCAATAAAGTTTTCAATTTGAGCTCTTGAAATCTCATAATCAAAGTGATATTAAGCCGAGCATATGGGCTTAATTATTTGAATCGGTGTTTTCTAATTCGTTAAAGCTAATTACGCTTGGGATGTTGAGAGCTTGTTCATTGTTCCACTTGTAGTTAAAATTTAGCTAAAGAACTGATTTTAGCTAATGTCTGATTAGGTGAAAACAAAGGTTGTCAGAGCTTGTTGATAACCATACCCGACTTGAGCTTGTCCTATCATTTTACATTTACGAGATCGCTGATAAGTATTTACATCATCATCGAGAGTGAACTAATGTTGGATTTCGTTCTCATTGTTTATAATAAATTTTAATCGCATGTTTAATCTAATTAATCAAATCCAACCCCCCCCCCCCCTTAATTACTTTTAAGCCGTCACCTTGTATTTGATTTTTCTAGACATAGTAAGTTTAAACCGAGTCGACCCGACTTACCGCTATTACAATTTTGGTTGTAATTAGCTCGTAGTTGGAATTTATTATTTGGTGGACTCGACATCCGTCAGTGAACCAGCGTTACGAATGGTCAACTACAACAACTAGTTTCCCAAGAGTTAAAAGAAGTGAAATTTGTATCTTAGGCGAAATAGAGAAGTAAAACACGATCAAACAGGATTCACGTTAAGGTTAGACTTGCTCGGGTGCCTATCGAATGCATTATTTGGTTATTACTTAAATGACGTAAAACCATATCTTAATTCTATTAACAAGTTACTTAGGTCCTACATGTTTATAAACAACTTAAACTTCAAAAGGGACATCCATATATGCATTAAGAACTCAAACACAAAAATTAGTTTCATATAGCTTCGTTCTCGGCTTTTAACAGCTTCTATCCCTCATTTTAGAGAGTGTTTTTATCATATAGCTCTGTTCTCGGCTTTTAACAGCTTCTATCCTCATTTTAGAGAGTATTTTTACCCCATTTAGAGGTCAATACAGAAGATACTATCGAAATGAAAGTTTTAGTATGGTATATGATGAATCTACTAGTTTTGAAATCACCTCATTTGGATTATCCATCTATTTTATACGAATTTTACAAAATAGCAGATTAATCCCAAATACAGTGCAAACATCCCTAATAACACACTGTTTCGAGTCATAATTGGTTTTTCGACCCTCATGAAAGTTGTAGTGCATAGTAAGGGATTTCTAAATAAAAAATACGAGTTTATTATGACTTAAGGTTTGTGAGTTATACACTCTCAAAGTACAAAAGCTGCATTGTCGGTAAAATCCGATTTCACAATTTTTCAACTAACTTTTATGATTCAAATTCCATAATTTGCTATATTTACATGCACTAAACATACTTTTACATACAAAATACTAAAACAAAGCTCAACGGTCATTATCCTAAGCTTAATCATGCAATTTTACTCTCTTAGGCATTTAATCGAACAATTGATGTGCGGTTAAACCTATACACAGTTATACACAACCTAACCATATTGAATCATAATCTACCCTTTTAATTTCTACATAAATTTAAACCAACACAAGCATTCCAAAACATATATAATAACAATATTTCAACAATTCCAATTCTTAATCTAAACATATACACAATTATACATCAATCTCGAAAATTCTAACATAAACACCCTAATAAAAACGAATGAAATTTATACTTTTAGGAAGGGTTTTAAGAGTGGAATTCGAATTTATGATTGTTACTTCGATTTCTTCAGTAATTTGACGTGAAATTTCGAGAGAAGACGCGAGTTTTAGAGAGGGAGAGAATGAGAGATGGACAAGGCGGTTGAAATGAAGAAGAAGAAGCCACGGATGGGTTTCTTATGCTTTATATATACATATATATATAGAGAGAGAGAGAGAGGCGGGATCAAATGAAAACCGTCTAATTATTAGAAATCGTGTAAACTAATTTCGACCAATAGAAAAAAAAATTCTTAATTAAATTTAATCATTAAGGATAGATTTGTCATGTACATTGTTTTCTATTAAATATGAAAGTTATTAATAAATCTTAATTAAGGTAACATAATAAAGAAAATTTTATAAATGGTATATTTAAATGTTTGTTTAAATTAGAATTTTAAAAATTGAATATTGTTATTTGGTTTCTCGGTTTATTAGTGGTAATAATATGAAAATCGAAAATTATTATATTTATTAATCCACGAAATCAGTAACAGATCCAAACAAAGATTCATGAACTGGTAAAAATATAATCAGTTGTGAAACAAATTTATGTTAGATTTATTCATAAAAACGTTCATTGAGGAGCTTGTTTTATGAAACGTATGCAGATTGGTTCGTGAAAACGTTCATTGAGGAACTTGTTTTATAAAACTTTTGGGGATGAACTGGTTGCGTAATATAATATTCTTGCATAATCTTGTTTTCTTATCAACAATATTTGATGAAATTGTTTCATTTTGTTTCATTTTTATTTTTGGATGATTTTGTTCACTTAATGGTTAACAAAGATGTAATGGTAAATGCATTGACTCTATGAAACGTATTCGTATTGGAAGAAATTGGCTGATGAAATGAGTGTATGAAGAAAGTGAAACCATTTCATAATTGATAAGAAAATGTTGTGTAATTAGCGAACAGTGAAGCAATTTCATTATTACGACAGAGAAACCATTTCATAATTGTTAAGAACATGTTGTTTAATTAGCAAACAGTGAAACCATTTCATAATTAGATTGAAATGGATCCATCTATTGGAAACTTGAAAATGACAAATGTCTCATCTAGCATTACGTTGATTTGTGTATTGATGAAACTGTGAAACTATTTCGTTCATAAAATGTGGTGGTAATTTTTTATTTA